TTTGCATAGTTGGCTACTTTTTATCAGTAGATGGTTTCTGGAAATCTTGTTAAAACAATATCCTGCTTTTTGTAAAAAATAAATAAATATATTTCTGTGACAACATGAAGTTCTGAAGTATTTTTAAAACACTTCCATCTCCACAAAAATAGCCCATAATTTAATTTTGATGACCTTTGAAACATAAGGTTTGGTGACAGAGATATGCAGCCAAAGGCAAAATGCAGAGAAAATGATCTTCCCATGAAGTCTCTGCGTGAACGTACATTTTCACTTAAAGAAAAGGAATGATTGTAACCATTGTAGATAACTTGTAACGCTGATATATTGAGAAAAATCCCCTTTTGATCGAATGTTAGAAAATATTATCACTTCAAATTATAACACTCATTTTACTCTATTGGCCTACATGAGCGATGAAAGAATTAAAACGTGAGAAGAATATCCCTTAACTGCGTATAATTTTACCATAGACATCTTCAATGACGGTGAACTCATTAAATGGAGCAGCAGACACGTGATTTCAGAGATAACGCGCTGCAACAACTGTAAGCCTCCGCTAAAAACTCACATGACTTTCACTGCAGGTTCTTTTTTTTTTTTTTCCTTTCCAAAATCCAAACAAGTCTAGGCTACATATATCTCACAGACAACACAAAGTGTCTGAGGATAAAAAACATAAAAAGTGATGAATCTTTTAGTCCTCGAGCACAAAATCTAGATGACAAGAAGGCTCCGATCACAACCTTTAGAGACCCCCGGTTAAATTATTCAGTATGGACAATGTTCCTAGCGATAAACCCACGGGCAAATTAAGCGTGTGTGTACGTGCGTGTGTGTGTGTGTGTGTGTGCGTGTGTGTGTGTGAGGGTAGCCGCGGAACACGTCTCGTGTTAAGTTATTTGACTCTAAATAGTCTATTAGCTGTTAAAATAATGCTCAAGCTTCTTCAAATCCAAATGAACTAGTAAGCTGAATAAGTTAATGAGAAGAAAAGGCCCCATGTCTGATTATTGTAGTTCAGAGTCCACCTTGATCAAAGCTGCGCCAAAAGGAGCAGGTGCAGGAGATGGCTACGGAATTTTAAAATAACATACACACCACTTTATTGAACAGTATGCAACAGCATTAGCCTCAAATTTTAGAGTTTATATGTAGAAACGATTCCATGAAAATGTGATTTAACAACGCAGGCGCTTAATGGGCCAAATTATTCCGGAATTAAAACTTCATCTAAAATTTAAAAAAAAAAAAACACCAATTGGTTTATTTGTCTTGTTTTAATTAATAATTGCGTAAACAAATAACAATGTCTCTAAGATTCATAATGTTGAACAAAAAGGGAAACCCCACTTTAAAACGTATAGCCTAACAAGCATACATTATATTAAAAAAGAAAAGAAAATGAGACACAAAGTAGGACATGCTGCGTAAACGGATGGAAAAGGGAATACCTGCTGTCATATATGCTGCAAATAAGCCTTTCACGGAAGAAAAACACGAAAAATCCATTGCATTAAAATCGCAGATAAGGAGAAAGAGTCTTATGTGCAGAATAAAAAGCAAGACTAACGTTAAAAGTCACTCCCACAAAACGTCTTATCCTCAGAGCACACTGGGCCAAATAACGCGCAAAAATAGCCACACTTTTCCACCATAAATACTTTACTGCTGGCTTAGAGAGTATACACTGGAATTTACTCGTATAAATCTGAAGGTTTGTGTTTCCCTGTGTCGGTTAGAGAGCAGCCGACAGCTTTCTCGCGCCCTGATGCTGCCGTGCCGATCCGGTCTGCAGCTGCTCTCTGCTCTGATTGGCTGCGCGCACTGACAGCTCTGCACATGATTGCAGGAAGAGAAGCCCGACCCACTTTCACTCTTGCTAAAGGAGCCATTCATAAAGTACACAAGTCCAGCTCACAGCTGAGTGTGGACGAAAAGTGAGCTGGGGGCACGAGAGGAGAGGAGAGAATAACTGCACGAGGAGATGAGTGGTCACAGACAGACGATGTTTTAGCCTTTAGCGTCTGATACGGATGTTGACCTGCAACCTGAATATGAATCTACCTAGCCACGCTGGAAGTGCTCATAAGTTGGACTGATATTTAACAGGCTATTGCATTGCATCACTATCCGTTTCCTCCTCCTCACACTGACGTCCATCCGCTGCAAAAGCAAAGAAAAAAAAAAAACTTTGCTTACACACTTTTCCTGCACGGGGAAGCGTCTGCCTCTGGCTTTACCGGTAAGCATTGGATCCGTCAACTTACTGCGACTCCCCGGTGTACAGCCCGGACCTCTGCCCCAACATGATCGCGACGCAAGCGAAGCTGGTCTACCAGCTGAACAAGTATCACAACGAGAGATGCCAAGCACGCAAAGCGGCCATTGCGAAGACCATAAGGGAGGTTTGTAAAGTGGTGTCGGATGTCCTGAAGGAGGTGGAGGTGCAGGAGCCGCGCTTCATCAGCTCCCTCAGTGAGATAGACGCTCGCTATGAGGGGATGGAGGTCATCTCTCCAAATGAGTTCGAGGTGGTGCTTTACCTCAACCAAATGGGGGTGTTCAACTTTGTGGATGATGGCTCCCTGCCCGGCTGCGCGGTGCTGAAGCTGAGTGATGGCCGGAAAAGGAGCATGTCACTGTGGGTCGAGTTCATAACAGCCTCGGGGTACCTTTCAGCCAGAAAGATCCGCTCCAGATTCCAGACTCTGGTGGCGCAGGCCGTGGATAAATGCAGCTACCGCGACGTGGTGAAGATGGTGGCGGACACCAGTGAGGTCAAACTGCGGATCAGGGAGAGGTATGTGGTACAGATCACCCCCGCGTTCAAGTGCACGGGGATCTGGCCTAGGAGTGCAGCGCAGTGGCCCATGCCCCACATCCCCTGGCCCGGGCCAAACAGGGTAGCAGAAGTGAAAGCAGAGGGGTTTAACCTGCTCTCCAAAGAATGTTACTCGTTGACGGGGAAGCAAAGCTCTGCAGAGAGCGACGCATGGGTGCTGCAGTTCAGCGAGGCCGAGAACAGGCTGCTGATGGCCGGCTGCAGGAAGAAGTGTCTGTCCGTGCTCAAGACTCTGAGAGACCGGCACCTAGAGCTGCCGGGCCAACCGCTCCACAACTACCACATGAAGACCCTGCTGTTGTACGAGTGTGAGAAACACCCGAGAGAGACCGACTGGGACGAGTCTTGCCTCGGAGACCGACTAAACGGCATCCTGCTGCAGCTCATATCCTGCCTGCAGTGCCGCAGATGTCCCCACTACTTCTTGCCAAACTTGGACTTGTTTCAGGGGAAGCCTCACTCGGCCCTGGAGGCTGCTGCTAAGCAGACATGGAGACTAGCGAGGGAAATCCTTACCAATGCGAAAAGTTTGGACAAACTATAAAGTGATCGTCGAGACATGAGACTTTTTGGGATAAATAAAACTTCAGAGAAGGACAAAGACGTGCAAGATCCTGCAACTTATTCTCCAAGCAATGTGAAAAAAAAAACATCCGTAACTAAAGAATGCAGCGAGCAAACAACAGAAAACCCCCTTTTTTTAAAATGGAGCAATTGGGCCACTGCCACGAAGAGAGAGAAGGTACATTTTCAGATAAATGTAATATTAACGTTTAGTTGTCTCCTTTAAATGTTTTCACAAAGTGAAGAATCTTTTATTTAATTATATGCACAAAATCGTTAAGTGGAAGAATAAAATGTAGCGTGCCAAGTTCAATTTTTCATTATGTGACTTAAAAGGAAATGTTAATAAAAATGTTGCAAATTAAATTACAACTTGGCCTCTTGTCTTGACATGTTTTGACAGCTTATATTGCAGGCCAATCTGTTGCATTTTACATTGCTATTGTCTGATGGAAATAATATTTTATGTATTCGTTATTCTCGATTAGAGGAAATTCTGCACAGAGAGAGAGAGAGTGCACAGAGAGAGAGAGAGATACACTTTCCCTACATTTAAAAAGGAATGTGCACACAGTGGACCTGAGGCCATAAGTTATTTTTACAGTGCGTCACAGGCTCTAAAGGATTTTCGAATGAATGTAAATCAGCAAACTGGTGTTAATATATGGGCCTGGGAGCATCCCTGCTCACTGTTTAAACAGCAGCATGAGCACAGGGCCTAAAACTTATCTCATTAATGCCAATGGATTTCTAAAGCGGTGGAGCTCAGAATAGACATTGGTCATAAAATATATATTTTCATTACTTTTATAAAGTCAATTAGAAATAAATGTGGATATCATGTTAACTATGATTTTAAATTAAAAACTACACATAGGTCGATACAATTGTACACGGTGTGAAACTAACAACCACCTGTGGGTCAGCAGTCTGCTCGGCATCAAGCTAAGGCTACAACTAGGGCCCAGTACGATTACAAGAATTGCTCCAAATTTGTTTTATTCATTAAAAACAATGAAAGCTAAATATTTGTTAATTTGCTGTTTTGCCTTACGATCTGCTTACCCTAAAAAAAAAAAAAAAAAAGGCTATGCTGCTGACCTGAAAATTATACTATTTCGAAGGCCTGATCCATTTTTGTTTCATCCATTTAAGATTTTTTTTAAATTTATTTATCAAAAACACTTTTGAAAAAAATAAAATCTAAGATGAACACAATTAACCGTTGTGTTATCGTGTTTTTTTTTTTTTTGTACGCTATTATTGATAAAATGAAAGCGTTGTTTTATAGCTTCTCCAATTCTAAATATAGCTTATAATAAAGTGAAAAATCCGGAAGGCGTTGAATGACACTTTAATCACTTGAAATACAGTGCAAGAAATAACTAGTCTATATCAAATAAACTTTGGGAAACAAACATTATTCTTTGTTAACTTCATAACAAACTTGATCTACTCAGACAGGAGCTACGTCAATGCTTCATTAAATAATAATTCATTTAAAGACCCAACATTCATCACTTTACCAGCTCTGAAGAAAATTCGGCTTCAACGCTATTAGGCATGATCAATGGATCTCAGAGTCTCCTACCTTTGGATCGATGGCCTTGAAGCCCAGCTCTTCCTCATCCACCTCGAAGTAGAGCTCGGAGGCGGTGATGGACAGGGTGCCTTTCACCACCACAGCCGGAGCCACCAGCTGAGCGCTCGTGCTCAAGTTTACTGGGCCTACAGGAGGAAGAGGAGGGGGGGGGGGAGGAGGGGGAGACACATGTCGGTCAGAAAACAAGCGGGGGTGTCTTCCTCTTCACGCAGGGAAATAACACTGGCCAACCGTAAAGGTAAACTTATAAAAACTCAACAAGGGAGTTGACTTCAGACTCAAACGAAAACAGTCAGAAACCCACCGTGGGCCTCGCTCTCGTTGCCGTGGATAATTGACACGCTTACAAAAGGGAAGGATAAACACGCGAGAGATAACGATAGGCCTACTTTTTTTTTGCTATTTTTTTTTAAAAGTTGAGCCCGTTTATCTCAAACAATTTGTTTATAGCTAACAATTATATTGCATATCACAAATGACTAAAGGCTTCGGCCACAATGTAGTTTTCTTAAATTGGACGGTAATCTAACTCGTTTTTTTTTTTTTTATAGTTTAGAAAAACTCCATTTGTACTTTTTAGATCGTGCAGTTCCTCAACAAAAAAAAAAAGCCTAAATCCTAAAATCGGCCAATAATAAATTGAATTAAATTTATGAGTTCAGAATGACCAAAAACCGACTGTCAGTCAGAATGCATTGATTGCGGGGGGATTGTTGGGTGAAGCCCTGTTCAATCTCTCATTAATCTTAATTTATGCCAGTATGACAATGAGATTGTGGCTCAGGGGAGCTGTGGGTGAAAGCTGTGCCCGGCTCTGCAAATATGTGAGCCATTGTGTTTGCAGATGTGTTAGAGAGAGGGAGAGAGGAGGAGGAGGCTGCAGAGAGCTCGGCCTGATTTCCCTCATGAGCTCCCTCACACGCGTGTAAACGGGATGGAATAAACAGATACATAGATATTCATCCCTTTGTCTCTCGTGAACCCCGCGAGTACTGACATGATTTCCGTGGGCTGAAATAACCTTTTTTTTCCCCCCAATTGAAGACATTCAATTACACCTGGAGCAGACAGCTGCTTGAGGCGGCTCGGCTCTCGATGTAAACATATCTCTTTATTAAACAGGGTTCAGCGTTTAATCCCATTGTCATCCAGTCGCGTTCTTTTTATGCCCTTCTGAGCCCCATTAATGCAGCTCGTAGGCTGCTCAGCGCTGAAGCTGCTCATAAAAATGCGGATTACACTGCAATCCGATTAGCAGACTATATTATATTTAATTAAGATTATTTAGATAAAGGATATTTCAATGGACACAAAGAGCTGACATTAAGAGTTGGATTAAATCTTACATGAGGCTGTGTCAGAGTCTTTGAGTCAGGCTAGTGCTGCTTTTCTTTAATATCCCATTTGTGCAGTATCCTGGGATAAACAGGGCTACTGCTGCTTTAATGTTTTTTTTATGAGAATTGCTGTGTGTGTGTGTGTGTGTGTGTGTGTGTGTGTGTGTTTGTGAAAGAACTTCAGCAGCAGACAGAAAACTGCAACTAGTGTGTTTTCACCAGCCATGTCCTAGGAGGACTGTGTGCACTGAGCAATAATGAAAACGTTTTGCAAAGTTATAATCGTAACAAAGAGCTTGTGAAAATCAGTGCAATGTGAAGCGAGATATAAATGCACAGACAAAAACCAGTAAAATTGCATGTGCAGGATATTAAGCGGTAACATTTAAAACACTAACATTTCGGTATTTTGTCTGCACTGCAGGATAACAGTGTAGTAGTAGGACTGGGAGGGGTAAGAATGACTGATAGGTTTTGGTTGTTTCTTTACCTGTTAGATTCTCCAAGTCCTTCTCGTCTAAAGATGACAACGTGTCATCGTCTCCATCCAGTGACGTCTCACTCTCAGAGGTCTGATTCCCCAGAGCCTGACTCCTGATGGACTGCTTCCCTTTGAGGATATCCTCCTCAGATGCTGGAGGGAGGGGAAGGTTTTTTTTTTTTTTTTTAATTGATCTTATCTTTAATACATTATAGGGTCCCATACAATGTTTTGCATAGTGTTACATATAATCCAGGCTGTATTGTGGTTTCACACACACACAAAAAAAAACAACTGTTCAGCTTTATTTAAATTGAAGTTTCAACAAGAACATGTTTCAGCTAGTTTTCATAAACTGAAACCAAACAGACATTTTCCCTCTTTAAACAAAAACCAAAAAACAATCACTAACCATTATAAATAGTAAAAAGTGACAATGTAAGTTATTAAATAAAATAAAATAGTTATTGATATGAAAAATTACAAACTGATGGCTAACAGAAAGTAATTGTGTTCTTTTTTTTTTAGCTTTTTTCCCCGATGTGTTGTAAGGCTACAGCTACAATGGGTGTATTGGTAAATGAATGAAAGCTTTATGAACAGAATCTTACATGAAATTTAACATTAGTTTAAAAGTAAAATCTACTGTTTCAGAGCTGCTTTCCTTCACCACTTTTCATAAGACACGTTGTTTTAATAATGTAGTATGTTGATTAGCACTGTGGTTTAAAAGTGATTCAACAGTTAGTAATGCTGACTTTGTGATGCATTCAGAGACTTGCTGAGCACGGTGAAGGCGGGCACAAGACACAACCCCTTACCCTGAATGCATTTTAACCTTTAAACATACATGCAAACAAACAGAAATTATAAATTAATTAAGATGATTCCAACTATTATTAAAGAAAAGTCGCACTCTGCCTGTTTTGATTTCAACTGAACATGACATGAGGTTCAAAACAGATTATTTAAGAAAAATGGTAATCTGTAAACATTTACAGAGCCAAGCCTTCCCCCACGGTGTATGGGAAGGATCTACAGACACAAGTCCAGAGTGTAGACCACTGGCTGGTAAGCCCTACTCTCTTTGTAAACATAGCTGGAGCATTAGCCTCTGTGTTTTCTAATGCAGCATTTTTGGTGAAAGTAACCCAGTTCTGATCCTGTGAGATGTCGAACATATACCTAGCAGACTTTTTTTTTTTTTTTTTTTGTTTTGCATCACCTGAGGGGAGATCATTTGCACTTCCTAAAAAAAGCACGGCTGCTTCATGTGGCTTTATACTTTGAAACTGCTACAAGAGCCGGGATAAAAAATCTCTTGTCATGGAAAATATGCAGCTCACTGATATTTAGAATGGTCTTCCTGTAATTAAGCCTCCCTGGAGGATTCTTTAGTTAGCAGCACTGAAATTACTACCAGCTCCTCTAATACGTACCACATGCCATTGTATTCACACCAGGCAAAGTGGACAGGGGACCTATCAGGAGCTTTAAAAACAGCCGTGTATTTGAACTTCTGTTGCATTTCAACGTTAACATGCACAACACATAGAGTACTACTAACAAGCATTATCTGGCCTGAGACAAACACAGTCTGATGCAGCTGAACCCTGGTGCCTGGGCTGAACCAAAACCACGCTCCCTGTGTTACCCTGGAGTTATTAATAGCTCCCCTGTATTATATACACTGAAGTTAGTTCAACAAATAAATGAACGGTCAAAATATTGTTCGACTGTGTCTATCAGAATAAAAAAAAAAAGCTATTTTGTCTGAGTTATGTCAGTTAATACCTGGTGCACGTAGAAGGCACGAGCACATAAGTGACAGGCTGCGTGCTAACTCCTCACTCCTTCTGTTACTGAATTAGATACCGTTTGTTTTTCTGTTCCTGTAGTTTGGCAAGTCTGAGGTTTTGAGATTGTGTGTGTGTGTGTGTGTAGGTGGTGTGTGTTGTATCATGTTGATTATTTTGCAGATGCAAAAAAAAGTTGAATTTGCAAAACAATTAAGGTGCAAGAGTAGAGAATGTAAAGTAACTCAAATTAAAGGCTTTATATGCGATTTTTGGATCCAGCAGACCAGCATGAAACCAAAACAACTCGCGGTGCATTGTTTTGTTAGCATGCTAATGCTAGCGATCTTCATTATGCTCGTATCTTCACACTGCATGTACATTTACCCAAAATGACCGTGATCTAGAAACACAGTTAAGCAGTGAGTACAGTATGTTATTCTTCTTTTCTCTAGTCCCTCAATTAAACAACTTTTATGAGCCGGGATGAGCCGGCCGGCTGTTCACGCTGTAAACAAAGTGAAGATAGGACTCGGGTGTTACACCCATTGTAGACAGTCATGACTCACAGAGTTATTTTCAGAGGATATACTTGATTTCTATTACATTTAAGAGTGAAAAATCGCATATTAAGCCTTTAAATCAAAGTTAATGGCAGGTTAAAAAAACAATTGCAATGAAAAACAAGTCAAAACCATTTAGATTTAGACATTTTAAATAAAAAATAAAAAAGGGGAAAAAAGATCATGGGTGCCACATTTATAAAATAATCGCTCTTCTGGTGCACTTCAACCTCGTCACACATCACACAGGCAGCAGAAAAATTGCATAAACCCCAACAGGTTTTTACTTTTTCCAGGACCCCATTTCCCTGTCTGAGAGGTTCAACTACCTGCTTATGCAACAAGAGGCATGCACGGTCACAGCAATTAAATTGTCAAAATTAACAAATTTGTTTTTAACGGGAGCGTAGCCAGCAGTGTGGTCATGAGGCGAGTATTGATTACCAGAACAGAGACATTAGTCTTCAGGTATTTACTCTGCCACCTCAGCTACACGGAGCCTGCACCGGGGCCAAATCAATCCCCAGAAAAGATGGTTCTTTCCAGCCATAAATACAAAACAGCCTACTCAAGCCTACTGGCAGCCACACGCTCTCCTGTGGAAATCATCTTGGCGCAGCATGAATGATAACAGTTGTCCCTGTCCTGAATGCAGAAGTGCACTTTTCTTCTGTGCATTTAAAGGAAAAGTAAAACAGTTTCTTCTTTTTGAAACTTACACTTTGTAGAAAAAGATCACTCATTAAAAAAAAAAAAAAAAGCAAAGCATTTTTCCCTGCCTCTAATTTTTGGATCAAGCGTGAGACTGAAAAAGGGCAGCCACAAGTAGCTAGCAAATTAGCCTAAATTCAAGCTTGATCTCCTACTAAATATTTTCTTAGGGAGTGAGGCTGCATTCTCTCCTCTCTGCATCTGATGAATATAATTACAGCCAGATATGACCTTTGTGCTCCGTTCGAAAAAACACAGCCCCGCATTCTCGTCTGGAGCTGCACTTCCGTAACAAATGTCGGGTCGACTAAAACAAGACGAAAGGTTACATCAGAAAATGGATGCCGTCAGGCTTCAATGTCAAAGAGTTATTTTAATGATATATTCCCATACTTCAGCCAGGCGGTAAACTCTCTGGAGGTAGCATAGCCCTGTCACAACAAGCTGCTGGCTATTTTTTTTTTTTTTTTTACACAGACTTGACTTTGAAAGTAAATGATTTTTTTTTTTTCTCTTTTCCTTCCTGGTGATGAATAAATGAAGAAAACGCTGCTGAAAAATAAATAAATAAAAATGAGAGCAAATACCAAAACAATAAACTCATGAGAATCTTCAGCTAACAGAGGACAGTGACAGAACATAAGTGATATGTCTGCTCTCTGTCACAAGCCGGCTGAAGGGAAAACAAGGAGACAAAGTAAAATACAGAGGCTTTCTTTAGAGGAGACGGCAAACAGCTGGACCCAGGCCTCAGTCTCCAGCTGCCGCCGCCGCACTGCAGCCATTCCTGCAGACCTGAAGTCTCATAGGATCCCGAGATCCCCATCACTTGTTTCTTTTTAGATCACATGCTTATTGACTCCTCTCACACCTGCTGTTTGTCTTTAGGAATGACGTCAAATTTAAGGGAACATGAAGTAACACAATGAGGTCCAGATATGGCCTTTCATTGGCGAAGATAATTGATCAAGCTAGTAACAGTTTGCCCAGCATGACGATGGTTGCATACCCTTGTGGGTTGACTGGAAGTAGAGAATACTACCTCTGTAGGAGAGAAAAGTGACTCCTAGTGTTGATGTGTGATGTATATAGTGTGGTTTTAAGGGACTGCAGGGAATGCTAAGCTCTTTACAGACTAGGTTTATTGAACATTGGCACCTGTCTTTGTAGAGTCGAGCTCAGAAACAATGAGGACAGTCTCTGACCTTTACAAACACTATGGGAAAAATCCGTCAGTGTTATTAGATTTAAAGTCAACTCAGTAGAGGGTAACAGCAGAGTATTAATAAAGTTCTTTCTATCACTTGATGCCATTACCTAATAGGCTGTGTGTAGAATGTGGACCCACTGTTTAACAGAATAACTGGTGGAATGCAATTAGCTTTAAACTACCTTAGAAATAACCACAAAAAAGAAATACCCTGGTACAACTTATGAAATCAGTTAATAAAACTATTAACACCTCAAAATGTTCTTAATTAGACTCTTAACTAGTATACAGTTCATGTGTTTCAGTATGTTAAGTTCTGATCTTGGAAATCATCCTGCAAAGAAATACATCAAAGGAATAAATCCCTACTGACCCCTAACAGGGAACGGAATAAAGGGTTGCAAGAATGTAACTTACCACTGATATCTGCCACTGTAATGCAGCAAAAAATAAAAAATAAACAGAAAAGAAAAGAATGAACATTTCTTATTTCATCCCATTCATAGCCACGTAGCTGAACATGAAGCATGCTAACACTCAGGGTGATTATTAGTCCAGCTTTGCATAATGGGTGCCAGGGTGTGAAATTACCTTTGTGAAATGTATATGAGGGTGCTATTTTATTGTGACTTGTGGTACAATAAATCTTTTATTGCAGCGGGAAGACTAATTTTATTACGTTGTACCTTGGTGCTAAGAGAAGGGAGTGCTAACAACATGTATGATACTGACCGTGTTCGGCCGCGGCTTTGAGCGTGGCCTCCGAGTGAGTGGAACCGGAGGGGTTCCTGATGAAGCGACGTCGCCGCCTTAAATCGTCCTCCCAGTAGTCCAGGCGCCAGAACTCCCTCGGCCGGCTGCAGCGAGACAGAGGTAGCACATGTGTTAGCAATTACCAGCCAGCATGGTATAGCAGCACTCAGCATTAGCACTCAGCCTGAGCATGCATACATAAAGCAAGCATTGTGTTTGGTGTTTTTTTCCAACCTTTGGAATTACTCTTTAAATACATTCATTTAGACACAAATGTAGGTCACAAATCAGTGTATCTATATCCACAAATGTGACAGTATCTCCATCTTAGAGGGTAAGGTGCTCTCCCCTGTGTTGCTGACTTTTTCCTGCTCTTTCTTTGAGAATGTGAACTGAACACCAGGTCCATCACGGTGGAATGAGTGAACGACAGCTTGATCATTTTCCACACACTACTGTGGCACGCGCTTCCATTCAGGGCTCATTTCAAGCTCAGCAGGACACCTCTTGTCAGGAGTCATGGCCAGCAGGATAAGGAGAAGGGGCCATTACAAACACAGAGGAGAGGGCTGGATAGCATTACTAATATTAATCAATGTCCACAGCACCCATTTTTCTTTTGCAATTTGCATCTCCTCTAAAGGCATAGTCAATAAATCATGTTGCTCTCAAAGAAAAGGAAGTGTTAACTTTTAATGAGGTGTCACTGCCACATGGCATTGTGCATGTACTCTGAGCCCCTGTCTATTACGATGTATCACTTCTATTTTGGAAAGACTTTTGATTGAAAAAATATCTTAAAAGTCCATCACCAATGGTTTGGAGGCTCAACAAAATGTAGGAAAATCATTTTTCTAAAGGCAAAAGAAATTCTACCTTTGCATGTTTAAGGGCTCAAATCATTATAACTTTTTGGTCCTGCTCTAATTCTTAAGATCAAAAATTAACTTTTTCCATTGATAATGAGCGCCATGTCACTAATGACTGAAAACTCAGGTGGGAGGGAAAAAAACCTCAGAAATGTAAGTAATCATTTAGACTAATTTCTGAATAAGAAACTCCCAGTCTTTGCTTGTCCTGGAGATAGTTTTGTTGGACTTTGTTCAAAATGACATTTTCCTAAAACCCACATCAACCATTTATCACACTCCTTGACATACTGCAAGAGTCTTTAGTTCTAGTCTTGTTGCTTTTAAACTGAAAATAGAAAATATTTCAAGAACATTAGAAAAAAAAACAGCCTAGACCAGGCTATTCTTCAGTGGCTGCAGTGCATCCTGGGAAGTGTTAGGAAGACAGTTTATGGTTTCAGTGGCATAGAGGCTATGACGGGAGAACCCCAGCGTTCTTTATGGGATCTACTCTTGAACGAAGCTTAGGCTGGGGGGCTCCTCACAAATCTTCAGTCCAACACCAATGATCACACAGGGGCCTCTGAGAGGGAAAGGAGCTTCATGCAAGAAAATAAATACAGATTCCAAAGGGGTCCTTTAAAACCATGAATGTCCTGGCTAATGAAAATTATTTGATTGTTTAAATCATCTAGATGAAAAAAAAAAAAGGAAAACAGATTACAAGTTGAGAACGACCGCTACTGATACCTTGAGGTAAATGTAAAGTAGCCTGAAGATGGCAAAACTAGGATATTAGGGATTTTGTGAAATGGACAAAACAGTTTAAATAGGAATGTAAAAAATGTGTATTCAGAGCAGAGAAAGAGAGAGTGTGTTTTTGAGCTGGAAGTTGGAAGTCACAAGGGACGCAGGTCTGTACAGGGCTAGATTTCTCGCCTGTGACAAAGACCCTGCTCCATGTTTGCATGTGATAGTCTCTGAACGCAAATGGCCACTTCATCATCCTGCCTGCAACGGTATTCATCTATGAAAATAATTATCAAGGTTGTGCATGGTGCAGAGCCCTGAATCAGGACGCACTCGTCCTTCATCGTTGAGAAGAGGGGGGGGGGGGGGTCTGTCCCATACACACAATGCACATTAATCCATCAGGAGAGGAGCTATGCCCAGAGTAATTAGTCACTGCATGGGGGGAACCACCTCTGCCAGTCATATTCACCCAGCGCTCCATGAAAAGGCAACAATGGGAGCCCTAATGACGGGATGCTAGAAGAGGTTGGTCGCCCGATGAAAGATACCTCGTCATCAATCCCAAATGAGAACGTAACCAGTATGGAGATGTGCAGCGCTATGCAACCCCCATACGGCACACTGAGTGTGTTTTCACAAAGATGATAAATTATTCAGAGCTCATCCATCCTCCTTGGGCATCCACGGCAGAATTTACTGAGGCACCATTCTTCAAAATAACAACAATTAAAATAACAAAGGCGCCAGCGTTGTGCTGTGGATCACGCCAACCACTTGTGTAATTAGTAATTAGTTCGGTCATAAAAGATGTCTGGAAGGCTGCTCGTTAAGCCTGAAGTGGCAGCCGTCTGATGATGGAGGTACAAAAAATAAAAAGGCTGTGAACCTTAAATAAAACTACTATCGGTCTTGCATGTAGAATTTTCTGTTTGTGTGTGTTAGGAAAAAGTTGTCGAGCCTCTGTAATGTGGACCAAATTTGCTACTGATAAAAGAGGATCCGGGTGACTTTTATGTGAGGCACTAAATAGTAATTATCTTTTTTTTTCCCCGTTCCCCTTTTTTAAACATCATTTGGTCGCTCTTCAGGACTCTGAAGTTGTAAATTTGAGGACGTTTACCAACACAGAGGACACATGGAGGAGCTCGAGTTTCTGCTTTTATGTGGCCTTGATGCTCCTTTCTCCCCGATCGGTTAACAGAACAGTTATTCAGTTTAATAAACCCCACACAAACTATTTGCTGTGTACAAGGAGACAGTTTACTGGTTGGCTATTTAAGATTACAATCCGACTATTGAATATCCATTTAAAACCAATAAAACAATTATTTGGTGAGAACAGAAGGGAGAAGGGAGGGCAAAGTTGATCCTCTTTAGGACGGAAATCCTATTGTCTGAACTTAACTTTCTGTTTTTAAAGCAATTGTCAATATGTGGTCTATAACTGGCTAAAATTATATTCACTGCTTCAAAATAATAATAAAACAAAATTTATTTATATTTTCTTTTCATTAACTTATTACATACATAAATAACTAGTTGTGGCCTGCTTCACTATTGTAGGGGTATTGAATAAAATAATAAAATAACAACCACGGTTCACTTTTACATCATCAATGTTAAGGTTAGTGGATTGTGTGTGTGTGTGTGTGTGTGTGTGTGTGTGTGTGTGTGTGTCTTTATTAGACAGGACAGCCAAAGACAGACAGGAAATGCTGGGAGGAGAGAGAGGGGGGGTGACATGCAGCTAAGGGTTTGGAACGCACAGCCACTGCAACGAGGACTATAGCTTCTGTACATGGGGCGCGTGACATAACCGCTAGGCCATCTGCGCCACAAGCGTTAGTGGATTTCTAAGTAGTGAGTCAATGAGGGCTGCTTTTGCTTTGGTGCAATTGTTAGATTGCTAAAAAAAAAAAAAAAGGACAAATAATTACAATCCTTCAAGATTCAATCAAACAGGATTATCCCGGGAAATATTGTCATGATTTGAAATGATAAAATTCTTTTTTTGACTAAAATCAATATAAACAACTGATAAAAACAAAGCATCATTTTTCCTTCTCTTATTTTTTATTTTTAGATATTCAAAGGTAAAGAACCTGTTGCAGTTATTGTGTAGGTTTATCGTCTAAGCATCTGATTTAATGCAAACAACAACATGAACTTTATCATAGTGAGCAGGACATGCAGAGTGAATGTGCTTTCATATATCACTACAAGCGGCTGCAATGTGGCACAAACAGTCATCCATAACCTTTGGGCCAAATTAATTTGGGTACAGTCAATGAGACCCGCATATGCAGAGGACATTTCTCTCCTTGCTTTATTTTATATTGATGCCAAGCGTCTATTGACAGCCCTAAAATTGCTCAAACATTGCTGCTATCCCCCCGGATCATTTTGCTTCGATTTGCATAAACCATGTGTTTAGAAGAAACGGGAGAGCATGAGTAGATTGAGGATTTGTCATGTTGAGGAGCGGTTGCTGGAGCGCCGGCTCTTTGTCAAACGGTGGCACTATCGCTTCCGCCGTGTCTCCACACTCAAATTAAAATGAAACAGGACCAAACACCTTTCCAACTGAAATTGTTTGGCATGATTAAGTCTCACCAGAGTGATTTTCTACATGTGCATTAATGCTTATCCTTCCAGGTGAAATGAGGTTCAGAAGAGGCCATCTGCATGTGTGTATGTTAATTCACCTCTGCTAATGTTGTTTACGAGATTCAGCAGAGGTAATGTTAGGGTCAACGACCCTGCAACAATTCCATCTTATCACTTTAAATGACGGACCATGTGTAATTTTGCCCTTCCCGATTATTAATCTGAGGATCAAGTCATTTAATTTGTCTATTTAATTTGAATTTAAACACCATGTAATAAGGCATCCAGCGTGATTTAAGATCAGTGATGATGAATTTGTAGAATGAAAGTAGAGTAAACCCTTGATTGGATTTGAAAAAATACATATATAAATGATGCTTTACACATAAGCAAAGGAACTCAGTGAAACTGAAACAAAGTCACAGAAATGTACATCCTCTGCTTTCCTCACACTTACGTTAGCTCTCTTTTCATAAGAGTTTGCCGCCGACACACCAGAGTGCACACACACGCGCTCATTACCGAGACAACACAGGCACCTACCACTCCTCCCAATTAACTCCAATTTATCCAAGAGCTTTCAGAGAGGGATCTGAAAAAAAGGGAGTGATATTGTGTTTCTGCAACATCGTCGGCTCGTGAGGATCAAAGCACTCCCATGGGGTGGGAGTCAGAAGGCTTCAGACTCCCCACAATGCAGTGCAGCTAAATGAAATAATGCAAATTAAGGCCCTAATTACCAGCAGCTTAGTGTGCAGCTTCCAATTAGCAGCGATTACACTCGGCGTAAATTCGGCAACAAAAAGCAAAACAATTACACAGTAATTATATCAGATTTCAGGGGGAGGTAAAAGGAGAAGTGCGGTGTTTAGAGAGGATGTAAATATTGACCA